ACGACTAGGAGAAAAAATTACTGAGTAGTTCAAGTTTTTAGTCAAATTACTAACAGATAACAAATTAGTGCTCAATCTGGGAACATGAAGGACAGAAGGTAGASAAATAGAATCACTAATCTTGATAGATCCCTTCCCAGCAATAGGAACATGGGATCCATCAGCTGTGGAGACCCTATCTCTTCCAGAACAGAGCTGGTAAGAAGAAAAAATAGTGGAGCTATGGGTCCTGTGCTCTGAGGCTCCAGAATCTATAATCCAAGGAGGTCCCTCCTTACCTAAAGTGGAAACATAATTTGCAGTGATGTGTGAACTACCTGTGTGAGCAAAGGAGGTAGAGTGGACTCCACTAGTGCCACCTGTACCTTGCTGTCCGCTTGTGGCTGAACTGGAACTGGCTGTATCCCGTTAGTTCAGAAGTAGCCCATACCTCTCAAGTTCGGTCCTTACTGCAAAAGCTGCAACAGACTCTAGAGCAGTTGTAGTAGGAGGGGCCGGAGTGTCACCAGTAACTGCCATGTGCACATTTCCCTTCTTATTTTTCAATCTAGTCGACACAAGATGTGGATGAAGCTTCCGACAAATATCTCTTGTATGTTTAGGCTTGTTATAGTAGTCACAGATCAAATCTCTTTTATCTTCCTTCTTGATTTCACTGCCACTTTGTTTAGGTTTCACAACACTTACCATGGCAGACTGATCAGAAATAAGGATTTTCATCATCACATCCCTCCTGCACTCCTCCCCTGACACAAAGGCATATGCTTGGGAGAGAGTGACATTGTCCCTAGAAAGAAGATGCTGTCGTGCAATATCATACTCAGGATTAAGGCCAGCAAGGAATTCAAACACCCTATACTTCTCTAGATGTTTCTGATAGGTAGCTGCATCCTTAGTGGTTTCCCAAGCAAATGTCTCTAAATNCCTGCCTTGTAGCAATAATCTGATTTCTCAATTGATAAGCCCTAGCAACATTCTCCCTCTGTGAATAGGTTTTTGCAACCCCATCCCATATCTCCGTAGCTATATTTGCCCATAAAAAAAATTTACTTATATGTTGCAACATGGAATTACACAATCAAGTCATCACCATATAATTCTCCTGTACCCACCGGGAGTTGCTAGTTTCGGGTTTCACCTCTTCACCTCTTCACTTCCGGGCTTATTTTCAACTCCGTGGCCCTCCATGCTTCTCAAAAAAGGTAAAGGAAATAACTAAAATTTGCAGCAAGATCAAACAAAACACCTTTTGGAACCAACAACACCTTCCTGGTGTCCTGGACTTTCTTTCCACAAAAGATTCCTTTTCTGTGGGATGAGAGGAGAGAGGAAGAGGCAGCCGCCCTCACTAGAAGCCTCCAAACTAGGCAGGACTTGAATCGCCCCTTACAAAAAACTCCAAGGAACCCTAAAAAATTAGGGTGCCACTTCCTAGGTCAAAAATGAAGAGTCCAACAAAAACAAGACTCTTCTCCTTTCTCCAGTTTTTCCTGTTTTTGATGAAAAACCCTAGACCAGCTACAGGGCACACAGATCCATCAAAAAAATCCAAAAACTGGGCTTACCTGAGAGCTTCGATCAGCCTCTTAAATCACCATGCGGTCGACCGATCTAGGGCTGCATGAGAGAACAACTTCAAGAATCTTCGGCCTATCTGATACCAAGTAGAAATCACT